CTAATTGGGAGTTCAGGGACCGTGAACATGAAGTTACAAAACCTGAAGAAATTCAGTATGACTGGAGCAAAAGGTGTGCCTAGGAGAGGGGTGAGAAGAATGTTGGCCTCCAGGCAGGACTGTCTAATGTATTAAGGTGGACTATTTGGGGGTGATGGAAGATTGTTTTAAGTGTGGTAGGGGAGGGGACGAAATAGGGGATTCCATGCAATAACCTTCCAACTCATTCTTTGGCCTCTATAATTATCACAAACCAGCAGGTAACACGATACTGTTAAAACTTGATGCGGGGAGCATTTTTTCATATGCCTGTTGGCCATGTTCAACATCACTTGTCATCAGGGAAATGCAAATCAAAACTACCATGAGATACCATCTTACACCAGTGAGAATGGCACATATTAAAAAATCTAGCAACAACAAATGTTGGCGAGGGTGTGGAGAAAAAGGAACTCTCCTGCACTGTTGGTGGGAGTGCAAACTGGTCCAACCACTGTGGAGAGCTGTGTGGAGATTTCTGGACCTACTAAACATAGAGCTTCCATATGATCCAGCAATTCCACTCCTAGGTATTTACCCAAAGGACACAGAAACATCAATTCCAAAGAACACCTGCACCCCTATGTTTACAGCAGCACTGTTTACAATAGCTAAGCTTTGGAAACAACCCAAATGCCCAAAAGTAGATGACTGGATCAAGGAGATGTGGTACATATATACCATGGAATATTACTCAGCATTCAAAAAAGATAAACACATGCAATTTGCAGCAACATGGATGGCGCTGGAAGGGATCATGCTCAGCGAAATAAGCCAAAAAGAAAAAGAAAAATACCGGATGGTCTCACTCATAGCAGGAATCTAGAAAACTTAAATAAGGGACCAGGAAAATGAATAACTATAAGAAAGTGAAAATCAAAATCAACAAAAAACTATGAACCAGAGACACTTTTAGGGGGGCAGGGGCGGGAGGGGAGGGATTGGGGTCAGAATGGGGGGGCTGCAATTGTATGGGGAATATAACAATAAAATTTATATAAAAAAAAAAAACTTGATGCGGGGAGGAGGGGGTTCCCTGGGGACACAAGGGGTTAAGACGCAGCACTATGAGGCTGTCCACAGCCACTGCACCATGAGTTTGATCCCCAGTGGTCAGCAAGGGAGGACATGGCACAGCAGACCTCTCTGACTCACCCGCTGCTCCCCTCAGCAGTGTATTTCAATCTGCTTGTCCTGCTCCCCACTATGTCTCTGGTGAATCTTCTCACCCCCAGCACCTCTGGCCTGTACCCCAGTTCTTATATGCATAAATAAATCTTTAAAAAAAAAAAGACTTGATCGGGGGCCTCCCTGGTGGTGCAAGGGGTCAAGCGTCAGCACTATGAAGCTATCTGCAGCCACTGCAGCATGAGTTCGATCCGTGGCCAGGGAGCTACCCACATGGCACAGCAGACCTCTCCTGTCTCGCCCCCTGCTCCCCTCAGCAGTGTATTTCAGTCAGTCTGTCTATTCTGTTCCCCACTCTGGTGAATCCTCTCACCCCCCACACCTCTGGCCTACACCCCAGCTCTTGTATGCATAAGTAAATAAGTCTTTAAAAAAATAAAAATAAATTTGATCGCGTCCTGTCTCTGTTTGGTACTGCCCACAGCTCCCCATTTCCTGCTGTATAACTAAGTCCTCATAAGACCTGCTGTGATGTGGTCTGTCACTGCTCTGTACGCGTGCATGCTCCACAGCAGCCTGGAGGTGCCTGGACCGGCCAGCCGGCTCCACTCTCAGGCTTTCTCTCTGGCCGCTGCTTCTACCAGGAATGCCTTCTCTTCATCCCCTTGCGCCTTCACCTCTTTCCTCAAATCTTACCTGCCCAGTGAGGGTTTCCATGATGACCTATTTAATACTGAACATTGCGCCCAGCACCTCTAATTACAACCCCTCGTATGCTTTGCTGTGCTTTTTCTATTGTGTATTTCTCCTAACTAACTGTTGGCATCCTCTGGCCAGAAATAACCAGGGACACATCTGCAGTGGGACCCATCCAGTGTGTCACTGCTGTGACCAGGGCAGTTACTTATCAGGGAGCTTGGAGGGCAGCTCCTTGGGTACAATGAGTATTAAATCCCCTGGCTCCACCACATCTGTGTCCTGAGGGGTCTTTGCTGGGAGACATTGACACTGCAATAGACGATACTTGTTTTAATGTTTGATTTCTGTCTCCCTCCTAAATTCCTGACACTAGGGATATTTTGGCATCCAAGTGTCTAGAACAATGTTTAATTGTTCAATTCATATTTGTTGAAGGAAGTAATTCATTCCTCCAAGGGCTGATGGAGAATGAGCGGAGCCGCAGGTGAACACCAGATCATCGGCTTTGAGATGTGGCGGTTGGCCGTGTCATTTGCGAAAATGGGGGTGACTGGAAGGTGAGCAGGTTTGCAGGGTGGAGGTGGAAGTGGGGAAGAATAGACAAGCTTGAATCATTAGCTCATCTTCCTCTGTCAGCCTCACCCACCTCTCCTGTGATCACCACTCCCACCACGCCCCTGCCTACCCCCCAGCACGCCTCCGCCCTCAGTGAGTCTCCCAGCAGCAGGGACGACAGCAGCTCAGGAGCACATGGGACACAGTGTACTAAAGGCAGGGCGAGGTTATCTTACCTGCAACATCCTAATGACTTCAAAGATGAGGAAACTGAGGCACATGGAGGAAAATAAATTGTGATTGACCAAGCTTTGAACATAAGTCGTCCAGTTCCAGAATCTGAACTACTACAGGGCATTCGGCAGCCATGAATTCAGATGCCAGGGGGAATGGCGGGGTACAGCAATGACGTGACACCAAGGCAAATTGGATTGGGGTCTAGCAAAGGAGTCCATTTTTCCATTGGGAGGGGGCTGTTTGCAAGAAACACTGCTGTGTCCTATGGGGAACCCCAAAGTCTACCCAAAGCCCTTACGCCTGTCATGCGCACCCACTGAGCAGCCGGGCTGGGTTATGTAACAGGAAGGTCCTGGCACCTCTGACATGATGCACCCACTGGGAAATTCATAACATTTTTTTTTAAACACCCAAGCCCGGCCCTTCTCTCCCCACCAAAGGAGAGCAGCTGAGATCTGAAAAGCAGGGCTATTAGCTCCACCAGGCACTGAGTTGCCATGGATACCACCAGCCCCACAAGAAGCTTCTTTTGCCCCTTGGTCCTGAAACTGCTTTGCTCCTGAGCCCTGACTCACACGGGCAGAGAGGACTTTCTCCACCCCTTCCCGAAATGAGTCTGAAAGTACAAAAGGCACATGAGAACTCAGAGCCGGGAGGGCGGCTCCTGTGTCCTGTCATCTTGTTTATCATTAATTTCTTTCAAACTCTGTTCTGCATCACACCAGCTGTGCTCACCCTGACAAGAGCTCGCGTGTGCGAGTACAGTTGTGCTCTTCGAAAGCAGGTGCCTGTGTGAACACCCTGCTGCTGGAGAGTGAAGTCTTGGGGGTCTGAAGAAGGGGAGCAAAGAAGCAAATTGACAAGTTGAAGTGTCTGTGTCTGTAGCTAATACAAAAAAATGGCCACCAACGCTCTTGGGAGATGTGCTACACTCCAGAGAGCAGCCTAGTAAAGGAAATCTAAACTTTGTCCCCAAAGTGAAGCCCCTAAGTTCCTCCAGTAGGGGGGCAATGACTAATATCTGTGGCCTGGAGACAGACACGCAAACTGCGCCTGTCACCAACATTCTTCAGACATTATCACATGGATGCTCACTTTGGTGCTGCTTTTAACTTTGGAATATTCCTTATCTCACTCAAACCTCACCACTACATGGAGCCACCAGCACAATTGTGTGGCCCAGGCTGAAATCAGTAACGTGAATGCTAACCCCTTACTGCCACGGAGGGAGTGCACCTGACATGCCTCCGTCCTAAGTGGATTGATGGAGGCACAGAGAGGTGTGAACAAGTAAATGCAGCTGAACAGGAGTCCTTTCACTCCCCCCGAGTCTTTTGTTTTCATATTGATTTCCTCAGCATTTACCTGACACTTTCTATAAAATAAAGACAAGATCCGTTTAAGATTGAGCTTTGCAGCTGCTCAGAATTGAGCCAAAATACATCAGCTGGGGCTCTTCTCCCGAGGTAGCAAACATCACTAAGCGCTGAGGACTTAAAACTACAGAGTTTATCTCCTGCTCTCACTCCATGTCCCCCGCAGGTTAGAGAGGGTGGGGGTTGCAGGGCACCCCAGGACATGGTCATCTTCCTCCTCCTTGCTCAGGGCCAGTTGACAGAGAAACTCTGTCCTTGTCCAAGAGAAAAAATAGAGTCTGGCCAAGCACAAAGTCCTCCTGGGTTTGCTCCTGCTCCTTCGGCTGAGCAGGCCCAAGGTCTGGATAGGGGAGGCAGGAGCTGGACAGGCACAGCCCTTGGGTAGAGAAATGCACCTGCTGTTCTATCCCGGTGGCAAGTTCCTCGAGATCAGTCTCCAGGGGTCTTTTTATTTTCCTAACTCTGCAAGCGGCAATGCCTAGAAAATTTCTACCTTGCAGACACTCAAGTGAACTAATGCCATTGATCACTATTGGATTTCCATCTTTACCCTGCAAAAACAGTATCTTTCTCTATATATATTTTAAGGCTTTAGTCACATTTACAAAAATATATATGTTTTAATTTTATTTCTTTTTTTGCATAGACGAACTGGCCAGAGGTGGGGGGCGTGGGGGGGGGGTGAGAGGATTCACCAGAGACAGAGAGGGGAGCAGAACAGGCAGATTGACTGAAACACACTGCTGAGGGGAGCCATGGGCCAGAAAGGAGAGGTCTGCTGCTCCATGTGGGTCAGCTCCCTGGCTGGGGATCGAACTCAGTCTTTAGCAGTGATAGTGCTAAGACTTAACCCCTAGGCCACCAAGGAGGCCCCTTTAGTCACACTTATTAACTGCACTAAGTTGTTAGCAAATATTTTAAAGTACCACAGCTTGTCTTGGAAGAAGGCTTACCATCATTAAAATTTCTGGCAGCCACTTTCAGGGACCTTAGTGTCCTCAATGTCTTTAAGGCTTGGAACATGGGTGCTATTACCAGCTCTTTCTGAATTTCTGCAAACACATCAAGGTAAGCAGATTCCTTGACTGGCTTCAACAGCTTTGTGTGTGTGTGTGTGTGTGTGTGTGTGCAAGACCCTTATTTTGTCAGCTCCAGTGTGAAATTCCATAGATGGTGTTCAAGGCAGGTCTTAGAATCTGTGAAACAAAAGCCTTTCATGGCTTCCTTTTCCTGGTTGAGATTTGAGGTTCAGCGATAGGATGGTCTCTCTTTCTAGAAGCTCACAAGCTAACCTTTTGCTATCCTGCCAATGAATGCAGCAGGGAGCAGGAAAGAGGGAATCACTTAAGGACCTATGGGCTCATGTGGAATCTCCACAAGGCAGAGGTGATAATAAAAACTCAATGGAGTGGGAGTATTGGGAGGCTGGTATCCATTAGCAGCCTGACAGGGAGGGGAAATGGCTTCAAAGAAACCCTGAGGTCTGTTTCCAAGGCAAAGACCTCTTGTCCTCCCCTCCCATGCTCCTCCCCTCCATGGACATCTTTGAGTCTCCTCTTGGCGGTGATGTACAAGGCGGCCCCCTCCCCAGAGGCCATTGAGCTGGATGATTCATGCTGTACAACCTGGAACATTCTGACACAGGTTTCTGTGAAAGCCAGCTTGTCTCTAAAGCTGCAAAGTACAAAGCCCTTCACAGCAAAAGCCAAACAGGTACATAAATGAATCAATACTCAAGTGCTCAGCACATTCACACATATTTACTACAGAAACACACTGGCCCAGGCCCAATACCGGGACCCCTAACTGTGCTAGTCAATACCACTCATCAATTAAAAACTAAAGGGGTTTTATCACTCCCCCTGACGCCCCAGACTCCTGGCTCATAAAATGGATTTCAAGTCAGTGTAAATAGCTTGCTTTGCCCAGCAGCTGTGTTCCTGAAAAGTTTCTTATAAATCAAATCCTCTTTTAAAATTCATGAAACTTTCCATTTAAAAGGAACCCTGTGATTAATCCTTTTGTAAGGCAAAGAATCTTTCTAGAACATAAAAACTCCACTACCACCTGCCCCTCATCTCCCTCTTCCTCCACCTGCCCCCACCCACTGCATCCTGCCTGGTCAGCTTTGGGCGTAAACAACATTTTCAAAGAGGACATAGGTCTTTGTGACTTGGAAGCAAACCAAGTACCGATCTTTTTAACATGTATCTTACAAACACCCTGATAGCGAGGCACGGAACACATATCCCTTGTCTGCAGATGCCACAATGCACAATCACCAGAAATGCTGACGAGCAGGGCTGTGAAAGGAACTGGCGACATTCTCTGTAAGAATGGCTCATCATCCCTCGCTCGGAACAAAACCAAAGCCCGCATCTCGGGGACAGGTGGACACAGCTGAGCACGCCTTTATTCCCTCCTCCCCAGTGCCCGCATCCCTTCCTGCCAGTGCAGGCTGAAAAACAAAATGAAAATAGGATTTTCCAAATGCTGTTGAGAACGTTAGTCTATAATTCTGGAGGCCAAAGACAAGCCTGGGGTTCTCATTGCTATTCATTTGGGAGTTTTACCACGTACCCTCCCATAGCGTTGTTCACTAAGAGCTTTAGTGGCATTGACTTTCTGCTTTTCACTTAGCCCCATCACACGATGAGATCCATGAAAACACAGGTTTGTGACAGTTGTCTTTATTCTAGAATATATTAAAATAAACTTATCAGAAGTAAAAAATAGTGTTCATGTAGTTGCCACCAAAGTACTCTGGGGGTTACTAGGAAGCCCAGGCCACACTTTGCCAAGACAAAACCAGGCAGCCTTGTAAAGGGCTAATCCCCAGGGAAAGAGGAGGTTTCAGGTCCACAGGGTGGAGCTGAGCAGGGAGGAGAAGCTAGGAAAGACTGAGTGGGGTATTGAAAAAGAAAACTTGGCTAAGGAGCAGCAGAGAGAGAAGAAAGGCTGGAGGAAGCACATGGAGCAGAGAGACATGTGAAGAAGCTGTTCTTTTGTCTCAGACTTGGGACTTGGGGGACATGGAAGGAAACACTTGAAACAGACATGGGTGACAGACCCATGGGGAGGTTGACAGTGGCAGCCTTTATCTTGACTTTGATTTTGCTCTTTTCCTTCCAGACTTGTCTGGCCTGTCCTGTGGGTCCCCACCAGAAGGTGCCTTGGACTGGTGGAAAATTTCTGGTCTCAGTGGTCCTGCTTTGGGTCAACCCTGTTTAGCTGGGTTTGCCCATAAAGGGATGGGTAATTTTGGGTGCTTGATTTGGAAACTATATTTTTCTCTTTTTTTCTCTATTTCACACTAATTATTGCACACTAATTTTATTTAAGTGATTTTCTACTGAAGCTCTTATGCACTGGAATATGTTTGTTTTTATGTGGCAGGTGGCAGAACCCATTTAGAGTGGGCTGGTTTGGGGGTCCTTGGGTGCCCTTTACCCTGCCCTGTAACAGTCTCACCAAATATGATTGACTTATGATGCCCCCCATTCTCTTCTTTTATTTACGTCCTTGCACCCACATTCCTTCAACAACAGTACTCAGGATTCAGTATTCACCGTCCGTGCCCACTGTGCTGGGTATGAGTGACAATAGAGGAAGAGCTGACAATTAAGAGGGTGTCAAAGGCTAAAAGAAAGAGTTGCGTATTGTACAAAGGCCTGGGGGAGCACAGTATAGGAGATATGAACTTCCATTAGGAATAGAAGCCTTGAAGAGAGCATTTGCCTGAGTTTGGAAGAGTGGATGAGACTGCTTTTGATGGGGTGGGAGGGGAGACAGTGAACAGCCATATGCCAAAGCCCAGATGTGCATGACAGTTAATGTGACTCTGGGGAGCAGGAGAGGGTCAAATTTCAAGGTCAACTCATAGGGATCTATGTATAAAACATTAGGTGATAACACCCTCAAGGTTCATTGTCTGGTGGATGTCACAGGATTTCCTCCCTGATTAAGTCTGAGTAATATTCTTTTCCATGATTTTATGAACTGAATGGATCCCTCATGTTGAAGCATTAGATTCCATGTGACTATGTTTGTGGTGTCCTTAAAGAAGAGGAAGAGGTGCTAAAGAAGGCACTGGCAGGGGAAAAAGGTATCATGAGGACATGGCAAGCAGGCAGCTTTCTGCAAACCAAGTAAGAGAAGCCTCAGAAGACATCAACCTTGCCAGTATCTTGACCTTGGACTTCTAGTCCCCAGGACTATGAGAAAATATATTTCTACTGTTTAAGCCTCCGGTTTATGGCATTTTGCTATGGCAGCCCTAGCGCATTAATACATATGTATATGTCACATTTTACTTATTTATCTGTCAATAGACACTTTGACTGCTTCTACCCTATAGCTATTGTGAATAATATAGTTACAAACTTTGGGGTACAAATAGCTCTTCAAAAACCCAGCTTTCAATTCTTTTGGATATATATCCTAAAGAATTGCTGGATCATATGGTAGTTCTATTTTTAAATTATGAGGAAACTCCATACTGATTTCTGCAGTGGCTGCACCATTTTACAGTTCCACCAACAGTGCTCAAATGTTCCAATTGCTCCATATCCTTCCCAATATTTGTTATGTCTTGTCTTTTTGGATAATAGCCCTTCTAACAGGCGAGAAATGATACCTCATTGCAGTGTGATGTGCAGTAATGATGGTCACATGTGATTAATGATGTTGAGCATCACATACTTCCACTTCCTTATTTGTTGACCATCTATATACTAGCCAAATCACAAAACCTAAAAAACTATTAAAGTCTAATGATCAGGGGTAACACTAAGATCCATAAAAGAAAATCTAGACAAATTGAAATTTATCAAATTTAAAACTTCTGTTCTTCAAAAGATTCTGTTCAAAATGAAAAGACTTTTCAATTTCATGTTATGTGTGTTTTACAACAACTTTTAAAAAATGGAAATAAAAAGGTAAAGATGCTCCATGGTATAAGAGAAAATATGTGCAAAGCATGTATCTGGTAGAATATTACTCAGCCATGAAAAAAGAAGGCAATCTTGTCATTTGCAACTATATAGGTGTGCATTGAAGGCATTATACTAAGTGAAATAAGTCACATAGAGACAGAAAAATACCATATGATTCTCACTTACATGTGGAATCTGAACAAACAACAAAAAATAAAGCTCACAGATGGAACATATAGGTGGTGGCCAGAGGGGAGATATGGGGGATTTGAGCAATGGATGAAGGGCATCAAAAAGTACATTCTTTCAATTATAAAATAAGTGTCATTGGTATGTAATGTACAGCAATATACATCATATTTTAACAAATATGCAAAAATACTTAACACTGTTTAGGAATTTGCCGAGATTGCTGAAAATGTCTCATGAGCAGAAAAAATTTTTAGCTATGTATGTAATGAATGGTAACTGGACTTACTGTGGTGATATTTCACAGTACATACAAATATTCTATCTTCATGTTAAATGTCTGAAAGTAATATGCTATTATATGTTAGTGATAATGAAAATAAACAAAATTTTAAAGATCTTCAAGTATATAAATCATGCATAAATGCAACCTCAAATTAAAACACAAAAAATGAATGCATCATGCTAAGAGAAAAAAGGCAGACTTAAAGGATATATAATTCTCTGTATATGGTCCCATCTATATAACAAAAAACAGGTCAGTGGTTGCTGGGCCTGAATTTAGGGAGGCCTATAAGCAGTATTGTAGTAGTTATGTGTGCTTTGTTAGAACTCACATAATTGCACGCTAAAGAGGATGAATTTTACTATATGTAAGCTATACCTTGGAAAACCTAACAGATGAGATATGTTATTTTATGATCTTTATAAGCATACCACTAAGTGAACAATATTACTAGTCCTTAGGAAATTTCAAATTAAAACCACAATAATGTCACTACACACCTATTAGAATAACCAAGATTATTAAAATAATATCATATATAGAAAGATATAGGCTATATATCATATGCACACACACAGAGCTGTTTCATATTTTTGTCATGCTCAGTCTTATTACACTCAGCACAGAGTAATCAGAGCCCAGCTGGACAAAGAATGCCATCCACACTGAGACAGTCCAGCATA